CGCCCTCCCGCCCCCCGCTCTCGCTCGTGGGGGCCTCTTCGCCCACTTCCCTCCCCCTTCCTTTGTTTCCCCCTCCTCCCCCTCTTCCCCCCAGTCTCTACTTTTCCTGGACTCGCTTCCCCCTCCTCTCTGCCCGTCTCTCCTCCTTCACGTGTTCCTCTGCCCGACTCCTCCCTCTACGCCTTCCGCCTCCCCTAACCCACGTCCCTTCCAGAAGGAGGGGGGGCCACTTGCCCTGATCCATCGCCAGATCCCTGTCGTAGGACTCTCCATCCCATCGCCCTCAGGTTGGGCCACGTCTCCTGCGGAGATCGCCTCCCCCCGATCCGACCGCACCTCCAGTGCCGGCCACGTTACCCCATGGAATGGGATACGTGCACGGGCCGCTGGCGGAGGGGGAGATACGAGAGCTACGTGGAGGTGGAACAAGCCCACGTCCCTTCCGGAAGGAGTGGGGGACAACCTTATTAAAGTGAACGTTGCGTTCCGAGCGGTGTTCCGACCCATTGCCAACCGTTGGCTCCAAGGTTTCTCTACCCCATCATGCTTTCTGCCAAACCAATATTCTCTGCCCGCCTCTTTTCATATGCTTCTTCCGCTCCCGCTGCCCATACCCCACGTCCCTCCCGGGAGGAGGAGGGCTCCTTAGTAACATGGCCAGGCTTTCCGAGCGTTTCTCCGATCCACTGCCTAATGGAAGTTCCAAGCACCCTCCACCCCATCATTTTCTTGTTGGGCATTTGCTATGACTAGATCACGGTTGTTTCTGCATACGGTCCCCGTCGCACTTTCCGAAACAAAAACAAGGCCACACCGACAGATTCGCAATGTCCAGATTTGATTTGCAGCCAAAGGCCGCCGCTGAACAAAACAGCCGAGCGATGCGTTTCAGTAGCCTCCATTCGGCTCGAGAGGTATTTGGAGCAGGCTACTTGCATAGACCAAGTTGGATTCCAAACATTGCATGACGTATCCAAAATGGGCTCGCTGTGCGTGTGGAAATCCGCATCACTTCGGAAGGTCTTCCCTTTCTCATTGTCGGGCTTTCCCTAATACACCGTAAAATCTTGTGTTGCCAAAGGGGACATGATTATGAAGTGCACGCTTCTCATCATCCTTTCCCATGGTGCGCGAGCTGCGAAGAAGCAGCACGACAAGTTGGTTCATCAGTTGCACCTGTTGGGGGCGACTCCGTCCATGGTTCACGTTGTCCAGGGGTGCAAGATTTTGTCCAACAAATACATGGGCGGGGCTCTCCAGCACAATCAAATCACCCACTTCGCGGCATTACTCCGATGGTTTCCCAGGGTTGAGCACATTGCATGGTGTTCCCTCACGAAGCCTATGCGGGTAGTTTACATCGAATGCAATGCCAACTTGGAGGTGGATGCGCAAGAGTTTATCCCCATTGCGTCAAGAGGGGGCCCTGGCGCGGAACTCTCGTGGATCGGATTCCAGAAAGTACACAGGCCCTATTAGTTCACCTCTAACCACATGAGGCCAGTCATCCAAGGCAGCATTAAGTATTGGATTCAAATGCTCTGACTTGTTGCGGGCATACAGGGCGTCCCTGCAGGCTCGGTGGTCACATTGGGACATGATGCTGTGCAGGTTCCTCGCGGAGGGCGCCATCTACAGGCCCGTGCAGTCTGTTTGTGGCATCAGGGCGCACCAGAGCGTTCCAGGGAAATGCTTCCGCCCCGCCCTGTCCGCGGCGGAGACTTGGTCGGGGAAGAAGAAGCGAAAGGCCCAGTGAACACTTCCTCCTACGCCCCTCCATTCCCTCCCCTCCGTCGGTCCTCTTCGCCTCCGCCGCCCACGCTGCACCCTCCCACTGCCCTGCGCAGCGCGCGTGCCCGCAGCTCGCCCAGCGCACTTTCACTATGAGCACGCCAGTCAGGCGCGGCCTCGTATCACCCCATAACCGCGCATCTTACACCCCATCTTGTTTCCATTGTTTGTCACCCCGTCATCCACGTGTTCCCCCCCCGACCCTCGCTCCTGTTTCGCCGCGCGCTCGGTATTATTGCACCGCCCATGGCCACGTTGTTCTACCCGTAATCTTAGTCCGCCAACGTCCAATGGCCCTTATTGTTTCATTGGCCCCGCCCGTGCGGTCTGGACCCATATGGCCCCAGGCCATGGCACATTGGGCCACCGTGCCCTGCAGGGTGGTAAATCTGGGTAACTGGACCCGCTCACGCGGTTAAGGCGCCCCTAAGCCATATCACCTCAAGTCCTCGTCCTTCTCCTTACCCCCATCCATGTTCTGGTGGTGGTGGTGGTGGAAAACAGGCCCATCAACACAAACGAAAGGAACTTACCAGTGGATTCAAAATTACGCGGTCGTACGCCCGATCGCCCCGTGGACACAAGCAGAACCGATGCTACGCTTTTTTAGAAGCGATCACTTGTTCTGGAGCGGGGGCACCTCGCTGGGCGACGGCACCAACGACGCTGCGCAAAAGGCTGGACGACTGCGCGGCACGGGCCCCTCTTCTCAAACCACCTCCGTGCTGCGTGCTGCTGCAGACAACAGGAAGACAGTTCTCTTAAGACTCGAGCCGGAACGCGCGGCGCTGGCCTGAGGGAGGGGGCACAGTCGCCGCCACGCGCACCTTCGGGCGCTCGGCGGAGGCGGACGACTCCTTCGACCGCCGCTTATCCGAGCAAGGGGGCCGAACGGTCTTTCCCTGCCCCTGAGTGCGTGGCTGAGGTGAGATCCCGCAGCGCGAATTCTGCTTGCTCGTTGATGTCTGCTGTTGTTGCTGCTGTCGTCGCCCTCGCCCGCGACCCCCCCCCCCCGCGACCCTCCCGCGACACACCCCGCGACCCTCCCACGACCCATCACGCGCCCGCGCCCTGACCCACCCCCGCGACCCACCCGCGACCCATCCCGCGCCAGCCCCCCTCACTCTTATCGATGGTCCTCAGGACGTGTTAGCGCCGACGTGTGCTTGCCTGTCGAAGCCCGTCAATACGACGCGGGCGGTATACTGAGGACCGACGCAGGCGGCGTGCGATCGGCGGGGCGGAACGATGGAAAACACCTCTTGGGATGACACACGTTTCAGGATCATCGGTTTTCTTGGAAGGAGGCTACTCCTTAGAAGGCGCCAGCCCTACGTCTATAGATAAGGCCTGCGCTTTCTAAGAAGCCTTCCCCCTCCCCCATACTGGGGATACCAGAAGGTACCGATACGGCTACTCCCCGGACCTCTCCCTGGGTGCGTTCTGACCATGATCTCGAGGTGGATCCAGTGGTGACATCGAGGAGCTCCCAGGAGGCCCCTAAAAGGGGAAAACAAGGGCATGGTAGAGGTATGGGTACCTTTTCTGACCACCTACCAGACCACCCCAACCAAACCCGAAGACCAAAATTTCGGGTTGGGGGGGTATGGGCTCCATGTGTTCCCCGACCACCCCCCACTGGAAATGGAGGGCAAAATGAAGCCTTCGGGTTGGGTTGGGGTGGTTTGGTGGGTGGTGAGTATGGGTACCTTTTCCCCTCCCCCCTATACCCCCTCTCTCTGCGCGTGGGCCGACGCACGCAGGAGGCGCTCCACCAGGCAGTCCGCAGCTGCGGGGCGCCACGTGCTGCCGTATGGGGGCCCCCCACTCGCCCCTCGCCGTCCCGGGGGCTGCGCGCCGCCGCGGGGCGCGGCCCCGCGGGAGGCCCAGCCTCTCTCGAGCTCGCCGCGGCTGGGTGGCGACCTCCGAACCCTGCAGACGAACTGCTGCAATCAGGCACAGTGCTCCAAATCCCATATTAGTCGACCCCCCCCCTAAAAAACCGGACCCCTCTCCAAATGCGATCTATTATTCCGGACTCCCCTCTTCGACGGGGCGCCTGAATAGACTGGACCCCCTCCAATCCAAAGAAAGCGCCCCAAAAAAACCGGATCCCCCCAATTACAAAAAGGCGCCTTAAAATACCGGACCCGGGGGACGATCAATCAGGAATTTGGAGTAGACATCACTGCACCAACCTTGCAGACGTGCTGCGGCGGATTTTCGCGTGGAGTTCTGTCAACGCAGAGCCCCGAAACAGCGAGCGAAAAACAAAGTGAATTTCACTTCGATGTTTTGTAGTCTTCATTCCAGGCCAAGAAAACATCCGCACGGAATTCACTTCGAAATCCAGAACGAAACTCTCCAAGATAACCTGGGCCCATCCCATTGTTTCCCGAGCGAAATGCGACATCTGGTCTGCGATGTTGGCGCCAAGAGAGATAAAACAAAAAAAAAACGAAGCCCCTAAGAGGCCCCAAGAGACCTCCCAGAGGCCCTCAAGACGCCCCAAGAGGCCCCCAGACCGGCTCCCAAGAGGCCTCCAAATGGCCCCCAGCACGCCCCCCAAGAGGCCACCACGACAGAGAGCCAAAGAGCCCCCACCACCAGAACGCCATGCCGGCCTTCCGCCGGCCTTCCGGCGGAAGGCCTGCGGAAGAGAGGAAGGGAGCGGGGGAACACGCCTCCTGACACACTAGTGTAAGACGACGGTTAGGAAAAGACTTTGGGCGGAGCGATTGACAAAATGGTTTCCGAATCTTCGGCTTCCGCTTCGCTTCGGCTCCGTCTGGCCCATCGACCGTGGGCAGGCCCCGGGTAACGGTAGCACGTGGGCGGAGTGGGGGACGTCGGGGCGGGGGTGCGCTGCGGTCGCCATCGTATGCGCGCGAGCGCCAGCGTGTGTGTGGGGGTCCAGGCCCCCACACACGTACGATGGGGAGGGAGGGATGGGGGAAGGGGTTTGGCCCGGGTAACAGCCGTTACGCCCCAGAGGATGAAGAAAACAGATCCCGACCACTTCCCCTGGGTCAAATTTACGCCCCAGAATCCTTTTTGATTGTCCCGGGCCTCACAACGGGCCCAGGGGCCGAAATCGAGAACAAACGCCGGGATCGAACATCACACAGTTATGGTCGGGTGTCTGGTGCCTGAGCCGCGGCGCCATCGCTCGAATGAAGCCGCCGCCTCCGTCGCTGCCGTCGCCGGACGCTCCTCTGGCTCGGCCACCTTGATGGGCACCACCGACGCCGCCGCGGCCGGCCCGGGCGGGCGCGCCTGGTCGGCGGGCGGTGGCGGCGCGACAGGTGCCGCGCGGGTGGGGCGGACCAAGACCCCCTCGCGTCGCAAAGTTGGCCTGGCGAGGGACCTAACCACATGCAGTTGTGAGCGTCGCAATTGTGAGTGTCGTCGTCGATCGAGCTCCCTGTGCGGCCACGAAGCGTGCGAGAGATAAGCCGAAATGGGAGTGGGACCGCATGCGATCCCTGCCACTGGGGCCTTCGGTGGAGCTGCCTATAAGGCAACTAAACACGTGAGAGGAGTGTGCCGATATGGGGTTGGAACCGCGTGCGAACCCTGCCACTGGGGCATTCTGTGGAACTCCCTTTGGAGCCACGAGCCGTGCGAGGAGCGTGCCGAAATGGGAGTGGAACCGCATGCGAATCCTGCCAGTGGGGCTTTCGGTTGAGTTCCCTACGGGGCCACGAAACGTAAGAGGTGTGTTGACAATGGGAGTTGGAACCGCATGCGATCCCTGCCGCTGGGACCTTCGGTGGAGCTCCCTTTGCCACCGTGACAGATGAGAGGGGTGTGCCGATATTGGGGCTGGAACCGCATGCGAACCCTGCCATTGGGGCCTTCGGTGGAGATCCCTATGGTGCCACGAAACGTGAGGGGCGTGCCGACGTGGGAGTGGAACCGCATGCGAACCCTGCCACTGGTGCGGTGCCCTCGGTGGAGCTCTCTTTGGGGCCACGAAGCGTGTGAGTTGTGTGCCGCAAAGGTGGTGGAACCGCATGCGAACCCTGCCACTGGGGCCTCCGGAGGAGCACCCTTGTCACACGACGAAACGTGTAATGGGTGTGCCGACATTGGGGGCGAGCCCTGCCACTGGGGTCTTCGGCGGAGTTCCAAAGGACACCACGACAGGTGTGAGGGGTGTGCCGGAATTGGGGGATGGAACCGCATGCCAACCCTGCCAGCCTGGGGCCTTCGGTGGAGGTCCCTAATGACACCGCGAAGCGTGTGAGAGGTTTGCCGACATGGGGGTGGATCCGCATGCAAATCCTGCCACTGGCGCCTTCGGTGCAATTCCCTTTGGGGCCCCGAAACGTGTGAGGGGCGCAAGGGATGGCATGATGATGATGAGGAGGAGGAGGAGGAAGAGGAGGAGGAGGAGGAGGAGGAGGAGGCGGAGGCGGAGGAGGAGGGGGAGGAAGAGGAGGAGGAGGAAGAGGCGGAGCGTCCTCAGAGAAGGACGAAGAGGACGAGGACGAGGACGACGAGGGGGAGGACGAGATGGGGGAGTGGAGGAGGAGGGGAGGAACGCGGGGTGCTCTTATTCAAAAAGAGGGCCCAACGCCACAGGATGGTTGGGGAGACTGGCCTGGCGAAGGACCCAACCATATGCAGTTGTGAATACCGCAAAAGTGAGTATCGTCTTCGGTGGAGCTCCTTATCAGGGGCACGAAACGTGTGAGAGATGTGCCGAAATGCGGGGTGTGCTGAAATTGGGGGTGGGACCGCATGCGAACCCTGTCACTTGGGCCTTCGGTGGAACTCCCTATGGGGCCACGAAACGTGTGAGGGGTGTGCCGAAGTGGGGGTGGAACCGCATGCGAACCCTGCCATTGGGGCCGTCTGTGGAGCTTCCTCTGGGGCCACGAAACGTGTGAAGGGTGTGCCGAAATTGGGGGTGGGACTGCATGCGAACCTTGCCACTGGGGCCTTCAGTGGAGCTCCCTATGGGGGGCCACAAAACACATGAGGGGTCTGCCGAAATGGAGGTGGAACCGCATGCGAACCCTGCCACTGGGTCCTTCGGCGGAACTCCCCATGGGGCCAAAAACTGTCTGAGGGGTGTGCTGAAAGTGGGGGTGGGACCGCATGCGAATCCTGTCACTGGGGCCTTCGGTGGAACTCCCTTTGGGGCCACGAAACGTGTGAGGGATGTGCCGAAATGGGGGTGGAATTGCATGCGAGCCCTGCCACTTGGGGCCTTCGATGGAGTTCCCTACGGGGGCCACGAACCGTGTGAGGGGTGCGCCGACAGGAGGGTGGAATTGCAAGCGAGCCCTGCGACTGGGGCCTTCGGTGGAGCTCCCTCTGGGGCCACAAAACGCATGAGGGGCGTGAAACATGTTGCCGATGGTGATGGCGATGGCGAGGATAGTTGTGGTAATGAAGCCGATGACGATGATAGCGGTGATGATGTTGATGTTGATGATGAATATGTTGATGATGATGATTATGGTGGTGGTGATGAGTATGTCGATGATGGTGATGATGCCGATGATGCTGATGATGCCGATGATGATGCAGATGTTCATGATCCAGATGGCTTCCATATGGTGATAACGACGATGACGATGATGCTGATGATGATGATGAGGAGCATGACGAACATGATCATGATTATTGTGGTGATAACGATGCAGATGATGATGATGATGATGAATATGATGATGATGATGATGATGATGCTGATGATGATGATGATGCTGATGATGGCGATGAAGATGATGGTGATGATGATGCTGCTGCTGAGCGAGGCTGATGGCGATGATGGTAATACGGACAGGGATGATGAAGATGATGATGGTGATGATGGCGACAATGAAGATGATGTTGATGATGATGAAGCAATGATGACGATGATGATGATGATGATGATGATGATGATGATGATGATGATGATGATGATGATGATGATGATGATGATGATGATAATGATGGGATAATGGGTTGATGATGGGAGGAGGTGGGAGGAGGAGGGAGGAGGAGGAGGAGAAGTGAGGTGAGGACGCGGGGCTCTGTCTCTTCAAAACGAGGAGCCAACAACATGTTGGTTGGGAACACACGACGGGCGGTGTTTGCTTTTTCTCGTCCTTCTGAGGCCCTCGCCGGGCCCCACGACCGCCAAAAACTGCTCAGGATGAAAAGCCCGCCCCAAAGAATGGGTCAAGACCTCTGGGGGTGTACTTCGTGAAAGAGCTACCCCAGCCAAGCACCCTATCAGCAGCCAAAGTGCAGAAGCGGGTCTGGTCGAGGAGCAGGTCCTGAATCTATTGTTGACCAGGGATCGTGACCGTCCACACCAAAAATGTTGCCAACCGATGGGCGAGGTTGCAAGGGAGCCTCAGGCGAAACGGCTGCCGGCACCGGGCGATCCCGGGCTCCCCGCCCCCCCCCGTGGGACTCCTCTGTGATGCTTTCCCCTGGGGCGAAACGCTATTGGGGAGGAAGCTGCTTACTAGAGGCCTCGTGGACGGGGTCCGAGCAGCTGGGGGTCCGAGGACCGCGCTGCACCGCCAATGCATCGGCGATGCATCGGCGATGAATCGGCGATGCATCGCCGACGCCGGCGGTGTATCGGAGACACCAGCGTTGAGAACATCGGGCTCCGCATCGAGCCGCATCGCCGATGCATCGGCGATGCGGCGCGATCCTCCGACCCCGTCTACTCCGACCCCATCTAGACTACTGCCTATCGTTACAGGGAACTGGTCGAGACCTCTGGGGGTCCCCTTCGCAAAAAGTCTTCCCGTCGGGGGTCTGCGGGTGCCGCAGGCCGCAGGGTGAGCGGAGGGCCGGCGTGCCATCGAGGAGAGTCACCGAGGAAGGTCGCTGCGCGCGCTGCACAATTATCCGATCGGGCTTGTCATGAGGATTTCTTGCCCGCTCGTGAAAACTCCAGTGGGGACGACGCAGAATGCCGCACGATGGCTCCAATTGTCCTCGAGGACCGCGACGAGGCTCTCACACTGAAAGGTCCGCGAAGGCCACTTCCTCCTCATCCCGCTTCTCCTCCTCATTATCCGTTTCCTTCTCCCTCCTCGGCCTCGGCCTCCTGCTCCTCCTGCTCCTCCTCCTCCTCCTCATCATCATTCTCCTGTTGATCCCCCTCACCCTCCTCCCTGTGCATCGGCAACGGATGACCTTGGTGCGCTGCTGCATGGGCTCCTCTTCCTTCTCATTCTCATTGTCCTCCTCCTCCTTTTCAACCTCCTCCTTGTAAACATCCTCCTATTCCTGCTTATCCTGTTCTCCTCCTCCTGCAACGATGGCTCCAGGAGGCCTCCACGCGGCTCCTACGACAACTCGCATGTGCATCGGACCGGCCTTCTCCTCCTCCTCCTCCTCCTCCTCCTTCTTCTCCCCCTCCTCCTCCTCCTCCTCCTCCTCCTCCTCCTCCTGCTCCTCCTCCTCCCTCTCCTCGCATGTTGACTCCAGGAGGCCTCCACGAGGCTCCCAAGACAATGTGCCTGGGCATCGGTGATGGGCAATATTTGATCTCTGGTGTATGGGCTCTTCCGCCGGCGGTAGAGTTCGGTGATCCACAGGTCCTTCTGGTCGGCTGTTTCACTGATCCACTGACTGCTGTTACACTTCCATGATCAGGGTAACACGCCTGCACATCGTTTCTGGATGGCTTGCTGGCCGCTCATGTGAGGTCTTCGTGAGACTCCGCAGACAATTCGCATGGACATCGGTTCTGGATGATTGTTCCTATTACGCAGAAACATATCGGCACCCTGAGGGGTCAACGAATCAGTTGCGGCTGTAGAAATAAGGATTGTGCAAACCAGAGTGTGTGAACATTCTGCTCACCCCCTGGCCAGTGCTACCTTAATCACGTGAGTCAAAACATGCGGCCAAGAATTCGGACAAGCTTAGTGTGCGCATTCTGTTCACAGCTGGGCCTTTAGCCGGATGGCCATCTCTAGACATCGCGGATGAGACTGATCATCTTCTGTACAAATTCGCGGGCTCCGACCACCACTTGTGGGATCCGATTGCGCAGCTGAAGCTTGGATGAATGGCTGCCGTGGACACATCAGTGTAGAAGGTGCGCTCCCAAACCAATGCATCACAAGACTCTTCAGAAGTTGCGTCTACGACGAGTGCGACTGCCAGCTGACTGCGCAACCGAACGTTCGTTCTGGATCGGAGCTGTTGCGCGGCCTCCTCCACAAAGGGCCTAAAAGCTTTATGGCCACAGAGCGATACGCGCAGAGCGCTGACGGAGACATGCCCTCAAGGACGTCAAGCACAACACCGTATTGGTTAGGGTAGAGAAAGATGCTGGCGCCAGAGCAATGTCTGCAATAATGGCCCACGGCGTCTGCTGCAGCTTGCACAGGCTCACGGCCTGCATGTCGCTTCAAAACATCATAGAACTCGCGTAGATTGCGGGTCCAAGGCGAAATAAAGACCCGATCACCAAGCTGACTTGGACGCACAACCACAAGACTGGTCGCAACGCTTGAAACAACGAAACATGACAGATTGTGCCCTGACACCTCTTCAGGCGGACTGCTGTCTGCACTCTCACTGCCACGATCAGGTACTGATGGTAGACAGGCATGGCCAAGCACGGTTGACTGAACAAACGATGGTTGCAACAAACCCGCCACGTTCATGTACCAACGTAGCGGATTCCTGCGCACTGATGGTTGCTGCCCGCTCTGCATGGTGAACAACTTGGGTGACGCGCTCGGGCGGCTCGACTGTCACCTCTTGAGTGAACTGATCATGCTCGGGCTCCTGAGCAGGCGCAGAGTTATCGCGAACACCTTGGCACCCTGGAATGTCCTCAACACCTGCGTTGAGCATGACGGTCGTTGGCTTGAGCTCGAGTGGTGAGGCTTGTGGATCGACATTGGCAGACTATCGTGTCCCCATGCGCACTCGCAAGAATGCACAACGCTCGTCCAATTCGGGGCGCACCATGAAACCAAGAAAGATGATATGTCGCCGCGCCGTTTTTTCCTCGAGGCACCCGAGTGGACGACGCCGACACCACGGCAATCCCAAGGCAAATCATGCGTCCCGCACCCCAGTAGACGATGGTGGCGCCGCGGCAAAATCCACGACAAGCCCTGCGCCCGAGGCGGAGATTGCCCTGGTGGCCACGGCGCCCTTCCCAAGACGCAAGGCCGCACGTCGGAACAAGCGGCGAGGCGACATGTTGTTTCCAGGCGAACGCAGGTCATTCGATGAGGAAGACTTGAGCATGCAAGCTAACAGTCTCTCCATCCTCATATGAAATGCCGTGGGCACATAACCATGCGCTTTGAGCGCACAATGGTGCAGCGCCGACAAGGCTGCAATACCTTTGGCTCATCTGCTCGTCCATCCGAACGAGTCCTGCTGCCCTTCAAAACGCTCCGCTACGGTAGCAAAGTTGTGCGGGCCGTACGAAGCACAGGCGTCACCAAACTCATCTCGGTCCTCACACCAGACGAACGGGGCGGCAACAGACACAGAACACGAGGGTGCCTTGATTTGGCAGAGCCGACCTGCTGCGCAAACCTGGCTGCACCGGGGACGGCCCACGACGAACGACCCGAGAAAAACGAGAAGGCGGAAGACGGGATGACGACGGGGCGGAGACGCACCAGCCCCACGAGCGCGCCCCGGATCCTCCCCCGGCCCCCCATCAGCGCCCCACCTTCGGCCCGGTGACGGCTTTTCACCGTATGGACCTCCGCGGAGGCCTGGACAGTTCGTTTCCCCAGGACTGGCTTGCAGTTAAAATCCCGAAGGCCTCCCTGCAAGCCTACCCCAAGGCCCGTCTGCTAGGCCTACCCCAGAATTGTCCCCTGAGCCCTTCACATAGGCCTACTCCTAGGCCCTTCGGCCTACCCCAAGACCCTCCCCTGGGCCTACCCAGGAGTCCCACTAGCCCTCTGGGCGCAGGTGGTCTGGGGCGTTTCCTTTTCCAACCTCCTTCCTTTCCCTGCTCAGGCTTACCTCCCCCCCTTCCCTGGGTCTGGACGGGCTCCCCCGCGAGGTGGCAGAGGGTCCTTTTTGACCCAAGAGGGCTCCGAGAGGGCCTTAGAGAGCCCAAGATGGCCTGCAAGATCGCCCAAGATACCTCAAGATGCCTCAAGATAGCCTCCGACACGCATCCAAGAGGTCTCAAGACGGGAGCCGCTCCTCCTCGAACCCGCAGGGTGGGGGCCTGCTCCCCCGCGTCAACGCCCGCGTTGAACAGCGGCGTGGCGGCCGCCGCTCGCAGGCCGCCGCCAGCAGCGTCGCCCCCGCCAAGGGGCAGATCGGCCTCGTGGCCCGCGCGCGCGGCCGCCCGCGTTGGCCACCGCCGCCGCTGGCTGCCGTCGTCGAGCTCGCGCCGCTGGCCGCTCGCCGCCGCCGGCGCTCGCCGCAAGCGTCGCCCGCCGCCCGCGCATCCTTGCCGCCGCCGCTCGCCGCCGCTCACCGCGGCGACCCCTGAGGGTCGGGCGCTGCAACGTCTTCGGGGCCCCCTCGCAGGTCGACCAGGCCTGAGGAACGGCGCGGAGAGATGAAGCCTGCGCGCAAGCCATTTCGGGCTCCCGCAACGCTTCAGTTTCACAATGCTGCGCTGCTTCGGGACGTGCGGCCCATGCACCAGGCGATGTGACTCTTTCAGTCCGTGCACACAGGAGTCCCGAACCCTTCTCTGGAGGGGTTCCAGATCCGATTCTGATGGTCTCCAGATCTGGATAACGGGCCCCGGAGGCCGAAATCGAAGAAACAATAGGGATTGGAAAATAATGCCGTCGGTGATCCGGGGTGACTGCAACGGCCCCTTCAACTGGGAGCGCAGAGCTTCCCAGACTCTGAGCGACCTCTGACCAAGCATTCACATCTATCTTGCTGCTTACATTATCGTTAAAGTGCAGAGGCACAACAGTAGGCGGGCGGAACAACAGCGGAGGAGGCGGAGCGGGAAAGGAGGCGGAGCGGGAGGCGGAGGAGGCGGAGCGTCGAGCCTGTTTCTATGCTGGAATGCGAACAGCGCCATGGACACTTCCACCGCCTCGCACACGAATGCACAGTGAATGTAGAGAGAAGCGCTCGATAGCATGAGGGACCGTGCCCGAAATAGGATAAGAATGAGGCACGAACGGAGGATAAGAAGGAGGAGGGAAAGAAGGTGAGGATCAGCAGCAGGAGGAGGAAACATCGGAAAAAAGAGGATGAGAAGAGGAGGCAGGATGAGAGGGAGCAGGAACAGAGGAAGAGAAGGAGGAGGAAAAGGCGGCGAGTCCTTACGCTTCGGGTGTGCGCGCCCGGTGGCCTGCCGAAGAAGAAGAAAAAGGATGTGAGGATCGGCAGCAGGAGGAAGCACAGGAGCAGCAGGCCGGCGGGAACGGCCGCGGCGGAGGCGGCGGGGCTGCGCCCCCGCGCAGAGGCGGCGGGGCTCGGGCGGCGCCCGGCCTCCACGCGGTAGGCGACGTTGCGCTCCAGGCAGGCCCGCAGCGCGGCGGGGGGCAGCGGCGAGCCCTCGCCCGCGGGGGCCCCGACGGGCGCACCGACACAGGCAAGGCGGCGCATCGTGTGACATCCCTGCAGTCGGCCCGGCCTGTTGTCCACCAACACCATAGGTTGGAGGCGGAGGGGGCCCTCCTCCTTCTCCTCCACCTCCTCCTGCTCCTCCTCCTCCTCCCCCTCCTCCCCCCCCCCCTCCTCCCTCCTCCCCTCCCCCACCCTCCTCCTCCTCCTCCTCCTCCTCATCCTCCTCCTCCTCCTCCTCCTCCTCCCCTCCAACTTCTGGTGGTGGTGGTGGAAAACAGGCCCATCAGTATAGGAAGGATGCGTGACAAGGATGCCAAGGGCCTCGGGAGGCCACTTCAGAGCTTTTCCAAGCGGGGCGCGGCCAACGAGAGTGGTCAAGGGTGGGCCGAGGAGGCAGGGATGCGAGGGTATCCTTGGGAAGGTTGCCCATCCTTACTATGCGGGTGGACTGTCTCCCTACTCCTACAGCCGACAATGGGATCACGAAAAATATGATTTAAGAGATCTGGGCCAACTCCCTCGAGGTGTCTTAAAACAAGCCTGGGCCAACTTCTTCTGCTCACGCTGGAGGGACGAACATGCTCAAGAAACGGGGACAGCTTTCCAGGAAGTTGATGAAGAAACGCTGGCCCAGCTTTTCGGGAGGAGGTTTCTTAATGAGATGCTCGACTGTACTGGGATGACCTTAGCCTTAATGGCCGATGCAACCCCCTAGATGCGGATATAGGCTGGTCCCTTCGGGTTTCGAGAGGCCTATCCCAAACTGGGGTGATGGGATGGTGGGCCTGAGATACCCTGGCCCGGTGGGTATGGCGACAGGTGAAGCGATGCTGAAAGACTGGTTCTCATCGCTGTGCTCGGCCTCCGGGGGCCCTCGCCGGCCCCAGGACCGCCTACAAAAATGGCCCTGGGGAACGCGTCGGGACTTCCAGGGACACTGGACTGCAAACATCGACAGCGCCCGCGACGACGTTCTCGCCGTCGCCGCCGCCGCCGCCGCCGTCGTCGTCATCGCCGTCGTCGGCGCCGGTAGAAAGCTTCGAGGATCGAGGCTTTCGAATGGTTCTGGCTCTCTCGGGAACCGAGATAAAATAGAGAAAAAGAGATAGAGTGAAATCTATGTATATATAAATATATACACATGTACACAGAGAGAGAGAGAGTGACAAAAACACACGAACACACAGACACACACACACACACACGCACACACACACACACAAAAAAAAACAGATGCAGCAACGTGGAATGGGGACTCCCCGCTTCCGCGGAGCTCGTCCAGAGCCTCGTGCGTCATCCAAGCCGTCCCGCGGCTTTCCTGGGCCAGGGGAACACACAAGCAGCACCAGAGAGAGGCCCGACTCCGACTGTAGACCCCGCACGCGCGACAGACAAGCAGTAAGGTTCCCACCAGCCCCAGAGGCTCCCCTCAATCTTCCTATCGTGCACTTGGGCCTCCTCCTCCCCCTGTCCATCCACGTCTTCCCGCCCCCTCTCTTCCGCCTCTTCCTCCGCCTCTTCCTCCTCCTCCTCCTCCTCCTCCTCCTCCTCTCCTCCTCCTCCTCCTCCTCCTCCCTCCTCTCTCCTCCTCCTCCTCCTCCTCCTCTCCTCCTCCTCTCCTCCTCCTCTCCTCCTCCTCCTCCTCCTCCTCCTCCTCCTCCTCCTCCTCCTCCTCCTCCTCCTCCTCCTCCTCCTCCTCCTCCTCCTCCTCCTCTCCTCCTCCTCCTCCTCCTCCTCCTCCTCCTCCTCCTCCTCCTCCTCCTCCTCCTCCTCCTCCTCCTCCTCCTCCTCCTCCTCCTCTCTCCTCCTCCTCCTCCTCCTCCTCCTCCTCCTCCTCCTCCTCCTCCTCCTCCTCCTCCTCCTCCTCTTCCTCGTGCGCATGCACATCCTGCTCCTCGAGCTGTTGCGCCCGCGGGCGGGTTCAACTATGCTGCCTGGTTTCGGTTGCGGTTGCGGTTGCACCCGCGGGCGGATTGAAATGTGTCGCCTGATTGCGGTTGCGGCGCTCGCGGGCGGGTTGAATGTCTCGTATGGTTGCGGTTGCGGTTGCGCCCGCGTGAAATGTGTCGCCTGATGGCGGTTGCGGTTGCGCCCGCGGGCGGGTTCAAATGCGTCGCCTGGTTGCGAGTGCGATTGCGCCCGTGGGCGGGTTGAAATGTATCGCTTGGATGCGGTTGCGGTTGCGGTTGTGCCCGCGGGCGGGCTGAAATGTGTCACCTAGTTGCGGTTGCTGCGCCCGCGAGAAGGTTGAGCTGTGTCGCTTGATTACGGTTGCGGTTGCGCCCGCGGGCGGGCTGGAATGTGTCACTTGGTTGCGGTTGCGGTTGCGGTTGCGCCCGCGGGCGGGTTGAAATGCGTCGCCAGCTTGCCGTTGCGGTTGCGCCCGGGTGGTTTGAAAAGTGTTGTCAAACGTCCAATTCTAGCTCAGTCAGTTCAGCGCAGTTCAGTTCAGTCTGTCAGTCAACTGAGGGTCACCCAGCTCCGCGGGGGAACAAATGCACACACACACACAGACACTGGTTATAAGGTAGTGCCCAGTACCTGCTACCAGGGCAGCAGGCGCCAGGGCAGGGCCCCCTTCTGGGCCATCTCAACCAGCTTTGTCTTCGAGCAGCGTTCAGCCGCGCGCGACGAGAACCCCCAGACATGTCCCAAACCTCCCAAAAGACGACGACAACGACGAGAACAACGACGACGATGATGATGACGACGACACTGATGATGATGATGATGATGATGATGATGATGATGATTATGATGATGGTGATGGTGATGCTGATGACGACGATGTTGATGATACTGATGATGATGATGATGATGATGATGATGATGATGATGATGATGATGATGACGATGATGATGATGATTATGATGGTGACGATGATGTTCATAATGATGATTATGATGATGATGATGATGACGACGACGAGGACGACGACGACAAAGACGACGAGGAAACCGACGACGATGACGAGGACGACGACGACGACGACGCGGAGAACGACGACGACGACGACGACAACGACGACGACGGCGGCGACGACGACGACGCAGACGACGCAGACGACGACGACATGCGGGTGTCGTATGGGAACCACCTTCGCCACCAGGGAGAAGGCTTCCCAGATTCCCGCACCGTCCGCGAGAACGAGGACGAACACGAGACCGAGGACGAGGACGACGACGACGCTGCCGTCGACGTCGCCGCCGACGACGGCCCGCAACGCAAGCGCGCCAAGCCGCCTGCCAGAGCACGCCGCCGCCGCCGGCCGCCTCGAAGCGGCCCTCCCCCAGGCCGAAGTCCACGGGCGCCGCCAGGCGCTGCCCCGGCGGCGCGCCTCGCAAAGGCGGGGGCGGCGACTCAGACATTTTTACGCCGCAGCGCGGCAGAGGCAGTCCGCACGCGCGCTCGAGCGGGCCGGGAGGCGGCAGGGCCCAGACTGGTTTCGTCGGCGGCGAGGCACAGGCAATGCGCACCAGCGCGGGGCGAATCGGGGCAACCGCTAGGCAACTTGGCCGGCGTGCAAGAGAGGAAGGCGAAGACGAGGGCGCCCGCGCGAGGGGAAGGAGGGGGAGGGCGCCCAGACGTGGAAGACTTACAAAAGGCAGGGCCCTGACATCCGACGTGCTGAAGAAACGTCGGGACGGACGTCCCTCGCCGCTCGCCGCCTGCCACGCGGCCCGCAGGCCCTCTCCGCCGGCACGCCCGCGCAGGTCCACACGGTCTGGGCGGCTCGGTGCCCTCCACCCCCCCGGGCTCCGCTCCTCCCTCTGCGCCGTGCCCCCCGTGAGCGCTCGGCGCGCCCCGCTCGTCGCCCCGCCCGGCGACCGTTCGCAAGGGCTCCTAAGTTCGCGCTTCGCGCTGCGCGAAGCGCGAAGCGCGAATAACTTCGCGCTCTCGCGCCGCCCCCCAAGGGGGAGAAGAGGAGGACGAGGAGGAGGGGGAGAAGGAACGAGGACCGCGAAGCGCGAAGCGCGAATAACTTCGCGCCCTCGGGGGAGCCCTTGTAGCATGCTTCTCGCCGCTGCGTCTCGCCGCTCTCGGCCTCCGGAGGGGGCCCTCGCCGTGCCCCCGCGCCGCCAAGCAGCCGCCGAGGCGGGAAGACAGCCAGCCCCGAGGGGCAGGGCCGTCGCTGGCCAACAGCTCGGCTGCCGAGCGTCCTCGGGAATCCGATGGCTCGATCTGCTCCGAAGAGCGCTTCGCGAGATGGGAATCTCGCTGCGGTCAGACTCGGCCACGGAAGAGCCCCAGAGCGGAGTCGGTGAGCCCGAGATCCCCAGCCGAGATCGCCCAGTCCCGCAGCCGTTTCGCTGGAGGCCTCTTCACACGTTATTGCAGAGCCGTGCTTTCGCCTCAATGCCGGCTACATTCTTGGTGCGGAAGGTCCTTGGAAAAAAAACGTGCGCTAAGTTGGACATGGTCGTGCCCTCACCCATGTCCTTGCTGCATATTTGCCTGTTTCCAGCCGTGCTTCTTCGCCTCCTTGACCCGCCCCTTCACCGTTGCTGCTATTAGTGTAGTGTGCTCTGCTGGGGCGATTTCCACACCTGGCCTTTCAGCCTGGCTTCGTGTCTCGGGACCCTCGCAGCTCAAGCTCGAGATATGCCCCAGGAGCATCGGGCCTGGGGCTCGTGGCATGATGTCTTGCGATGTTGCATGTTGTTCGCGACGTAGGATCTCAGCGAGGGGGCGCGATATGGGGGGTTGATGAACATGTCACCCAGGAACGACTGGCATTCCCATTCTCTCCGCCACCTCATCCACCTGCTCCTCCTCCTCCTCCTCCTCCTCCTCCTCCTCCTTGAGCTCTACGCTCCAGATTTCCAGATACCCCAAAAAGGGGGGAGGGTAAAACTCGTCGCTGCGGAGGGGGAAGCGACGAGCGAGCTCAGGCTTCTCGGTCTGAGCTGTCATAAGGCAGGTCAACCTCGTCTCTCATCCTGTCGGATCCGTCACCCTGTAGGAAATGGACGCAGGCGAGCGCGGGTGAGGAGGGGGATGATGAGGAGGAGGAGGAGGAAGAGGAGGAGGGGGAGGAGGAGGAGGCGGAGGAGGAGGAGGAAGAAGAATAATCATTCTAATAATAATAATAAAAGTAATAATAATACTTAATAATAAGAATAATAATACTAATAATAAATAATAATAATAATAATAATAATAATAATAATAATAATAACAACAATAATAATAATAGTAACAAGAAGAAGAACAATAATAATCATAATAATAATAAGAATAATAATAATAATAATAATACTAATATTACGGAAAATAATACTAATAATAAAAATATAATTAATAATACTAATACTAATACTACTAATAATATAACTAATAATAATATTAAGAAGAAGAATAAGAAGAAGAAGGGTGAGAGGGAGGGGGTATGGAAGGGGGAGGGGCAGGGGGAGGGGAGGGGAAGACACGATGGGGGACGGAAAGATGCGGAGAGAAACCCACGGGAAGCAGCCGCTGCACCGCGACCACCAGACCCACAGCGCCCTGAGCGATATGGGGGACACAGACATGGAATCAGCGATACATCGCCGATAGGTCGGCGAAAGGCCACGACAGCGGAGCCGCAGGCTCCTGGGCGGCGTGGGGGGTCCAAGCCAATGCGTCACTGAGCTTCCCAGGGTGCCCCAAGGGCTACAGAGGATAAGAAGTATCCGCGGGACACCTGTTGGCAGGCAGATTTCGTAGGTGATATGTGCCTACTGTGTTGTCGTGGGCGATTGGGTGTCAATGTTTCCCCCCCTGGACCAATCCCCTCTTTAACGTTGCCTCTGATCACGCCCCCTCCTCGAAGAACTGCTCGCAGAACTGCAACGTCTTGACTTAGAAACAACAGAGGACCCGTGGAGATCTGGACCTTTTCCGGAAACCGGCCACCCCGAGGAGGGCTCCCGAGAAGCCCAACATTGCACAAAAACCTCCCGCCGCGATTGTGGGTGGGCCCACCCCCGCCTGGGCCGCTCCCCCCTCCTGTCCTTGCTCCCCGAGCTGGCACACATGGTGGTTTCCGGGTCGTCTCCGGCATCCGGCGGCCGCTCAGGATGCTCTGGGCACCCCTGGAGGGCCCCTCGGCGAGGCGCAGCCGCTGGAAGGCCTCCCGAGGCTGGAGAGCCGCCGAGACCCACAGAAAACATCCGCGAAGACCTCCAGCACCGGGCACCGAACATCGTAGGCCCCATGCCCCAGCTCGGGGCTCCCGCCCGGCGCCCCGCACCCCGGAGGCGCAGCAGGGCGACGGCGGTGCGCCGGCTGACGACGGCCGCGGCGCGGTACATGAGGCGCCTCCCGGGCGCCGCCCCCGCCTCCGAGGGAGGAGAGCGGAGGAGCGAGTGAGTGGATGCGCGTCGTGGCCCCCTGTGTGTCTCTGCAGGCCACGCATGCACTCTGACGTGTACTCTAAGTGTCGAGAGGGCGAGGAGGAGAGGGCAGGAGGGATAGGAGGGATGTCCTGCTCCTCTTCCTCCTCCTCCTCCTCCTCCTCCTCCTCCTCCTCCTCATCCTCCTCCCTGCTGATCTGAAACAGATGGAGTCTTACCCAAAACATCGACCAGCCGCCGATGCTGGAGGACCTCACTACAGTCTCGACTTTTAGACCGAGGATTCCTTGCCTTCATGAGAATGTCAGTGCGGCTATTGATGCACAGTGCACTGTAGCATAGCGTTCTAGTGTTCTCAATGCATGCACGCTGTATTATATATAGCACAGTGAGCACGTGATGCGCGTAATGTTCATATTGTGGCCTAGCGTCCACTCAGCATGCTAATCCATGTAGGAGTGCAGGTTCAGGGAGGGTTGAGCGCAGGGTTTCGCCCTCTCTTTGTGCAAACATTCAAAGGTGTGAGACGGCCTAGGGCCGACGAGGGGCCCAAGGCTTTGTAGGCCCCAGGGGCTCCCTCAGGCGCCCTACCGCCCCGCCCACAGACAGAACCATCAGCAATACAGGACGCTGGCAGGCGCCCATCTTCCCAGGCCCGTGCTTCTTGCGCTGACGCCGAACCTCTGCCAAGGTCGCTCGCTCGCTCCTCCTCCTCCTCCTCCTCCTCCTCCACCTCCTCCTCCCCCCGGCTCCTGCTCCGCCTCACCCCTCCTCCCCCGCTTTGCCCCTCCCCGTTCCCCTCCCGATAATGGTCAACATTCTCGTCCACATCCTCCTCCTCCTCCTCCTCCTCCTCCTTCTCCTCCTCCTCCTTCTCCTGTAGCACCTCCTCCTCCTCGTCCTTCTCCTCCTCGTCCTCCTCATTCTCTTCCTTTTCCTTTCCCTGTCCCCCCCTCGTTGCCCACCCGCCTCTCCTCCTCATTCACACCACCGTCTCATCATCCCCCACCTCCTCCCAAACCTCTGAAATGCAACTGACAATGCGACCAAAAGGATCAACATTTAAGACACCTAGGCCAATTGCCCGGAAGTGTCTTAAAACAAGTCTGGGCCAAAAGTCTGCCGTTCACGACGGAGGGGTCAAGGTGCTCAAGAGATGGGGCCAGCTTTTTCGGCAAGTTGGTGGAGAAATGCTGGCGCAACTTTTCGGGAGAAAGTTTCTTCATGCTGGACTGTAGATTCTCCTTCCACTTACCCTCCGACAAAGAAGACGCCGAAGACGACTAAAAGGACGAGCCCGAAGCCGGCAACGATGACGAAGACAAACACGGCGAGGACGAAAAAAGCGAGACGATCGCCGACGATCGACGACCATGACGATCGACGACGACGAAAACGACGACGACGACGACGACGACAATGGCGGCGAGGACGACGACGACGACGACGGCGGCGACACGACCGATGACGACGACGACGACGACGACGCCGTCCGACGACGACGACGGCGGCGGCGACGACGTCCGACGACGTCCGACGACGACGCCGTCCGACGACGACGACGACGGCGGCGGCGACGACTTCCGACGACGACATGACCGACAGACGGCGCCGAAGCCGCAGGTCCTCCGCGCATCCGGGCGCAGCCCCTCGCCGCTCGCAGAGCATCGGGTCGGACGGAAGGGGAGCTGGAGCAAGAGTCGAGATCAGCCTTAAGGTCGGGCATGTCCTCCTACAATGTTCGCCTTAGGTCGGGCATGTCCTCCTGCAGGCGGATTCGGGAGGAAAACTAACAACACTTTGAAAATAATCAGAACTAGCGGAAATCGCACCAAGCATCGTCCCCATACTATTGCTCACCATTTTTGAATTTCCTAGTGTAGGTTGGGCATGTCCTCCTACAGGCGGATTCGGGAGGAGAACTAACAACACTTTTAAAATAAGCAGAACTAATTCTAAAAAGCGCCAAACATCGTCCCCACACG